TGAAGGTGAATACAGGAGTTAAGTTCACTTTTAACACAGGCTTTAATTACCGTAATGAAGCACTAAACCTGCATTAAAGCAAGGGAAAAGGGCATCAAGTAATCTGGACAAGTAATGATGTTGGATAAGTTAGTGTATGAGGAACCTGCTTTTAGGATCCATTTTAAAAAAGCTGGCTGTTCTAGAAAAAAAAACAAAAACAAAACAAAAAGAAACCCACCAAAAAAACACCAAAAAGACACCACCACAAAAACAAACCAAAAACCCCAAAGAAACCCCAACAAAACAAAAACCTCAACCAACAAAAAGCATAAAAAGAGTGGTTGAAACTAAATTTTAAGCCTTATTTATAGACTCTGGTGTATTTCAGATGTATTCATGACAAAGTATATGGATACCCTTAAAAGCAAGGCCTCAGCCCAGCATTGAGAAAGTCCCGATGGTTTCAGGCCAGAAAACTTGGAAGTCATGTTTGCCTTTTAAAATATTTTGTTTCCTCTTGGCAGCATGTCAATCCAGCAAGAGTCACAAGAATGATACAAACTGAAAAGTGATTTGCAGTAATCATGTTTCATTTAGCTCCTATCCAGTGTCAGAACATACATTCAAGATTGCAGGAATAAAAAAAAACTAAATTGTTTTGGTTCTGTTCCATTAATATTGTGAAAGGCTATACCAAGAAGTTCTGAATTATCAAGTTTATATATGTTCCCAGCAGTATGAAACCCATTGAAACCATTTTGTTTCAATATTCATCTGAAAAGCTTTTCTTTGTGCAACAAATAGCATCAAAATTCAATGAACACAGTCTTAATCTGTTATGGCCTATTCTGGTTTTAACTTTGGAAGCTTCTCTGAATTACACATTTAAGTGCATAAAAAGATAAGCCAAAAATTAACAGAAGGAATTCAGCAATTCTGAACTAAGAATCAAATCAGTATTTCAAATATCACTAAACCTTTTGTAGTTTAATGCAACTTAAACATATTTCCCAGAGCATACGGGGAATTACTTTTCCCGTGATTCAGTTAGTAGTGCAACACTGGAAAAGTCCTTCAGTATGATCACCTTTTCATAAGTAAAAGGTCTCAGTTGTCCAAGACCACCTTCAAGGTAACACAGCAGTCAGACTGCTGAGTTTCTCTCTATCCAAGCTTTTATAACTCTAGTTATATGTTATGAAAATACTAGCAAGCAAGAGAGGGAGTACCACTGGATTAGTCTCATGGAAAAGTTCAGTAAAGCACAGGGCTTTACTTGGTTATCAGTGCCAACTGGTTATCAGTTACGTAAATCAGAGACAGAATGATACCTAAATTGTCAAAAATAACTGTTAGACAGTGAAAGACATTTTGCTTACAAAGAAGTTTTACATGGCTTTAATTTCTGTAAGTCTTTAAGAATAAGCAGATGAATAATACTTTTGATGCTTTCATATCCCCAAATAAGTTTCAGTTATGCATAAGGCTTGACAGAGCTCTCGCCGCTATCAACAACAATGTGAAGTTTCACATGGTGAGAAATAATTGGAAGCAATAGTATTATTTTAAAGCAGAAGTCTAGATAAGGTATGAGCTTATCAGAAATCTTAACTTGCAAGTAAAGCTCCCTTCTACATATTTAGTGCTGAATACAACCTACCTATAAGAGGGGGGAAGAAAAAAAAAAACCCACACACAGTGGTGGGCTTTTACATTTTTAGACCTAAGGTAAACTACTTATATCCCTATTTTACACTGTTCAAATACAAATCAAAACTTCCTGTGGCTCAAACTGCCGCAGCATTTCCATCCAACTGCATAGTGCTAGCATGTGGTTGTTGAAGCAGGCTGACAGCAGAATTTGGAGTCATGTCCCATGAGGCCACCAAATCTCCTTGGCTTCTCCAGTCTCCTTTTACCCCTCCCTTCAAGTGAGAGAAAGACATGACTCTTCCCAAACCATAATACCTCACCTATTAGCAGGTTATTACTCCTCCACAGTGGTTATGTACATCCAATTAGAAGGCTGTGTGCATCTGCTGGGAGCGAAAACAATAGTCGCTTTCATTTCTGGACTGGTTCAAAGTCTTGAACCAGGGCTCCAAAATTACATGTGCATTCCAGTAAGAACCAGGTAACTCAAACACCTTATTCTGTGTCTTGAATTATAATAAATACTTCCAGTGATAGCAAACCAACACAGCGAAAGGCATACTGCCTGCCATTCCACACTACAGAAACCTACACACACCACCATGGAAAAATTAGCTGTAGAGAAATAAGATTTTTGGTCAGTAACAAGTATGTGATTGCAGGTGATACTCTCTTACAAGAAAATGGAGACAAATAGTTACAGAAATAACTCTGAGGTGTCTAGTTTGCAACCATGACCCAATTTCTTGATTTACTGCAGAAATGCGGGTCTGTCACATCACAAACCACTTCGGTACACTGAATTAAGTTGGGCTCACTTCTTAGAGAGCCAATTTCCAATTCAGCAAAAACTCCCAAGTTCCAGTCAAGATACACCAATGCTGGTGAACAGCAGTCAGCAACCACATTGAAAAGAATTAAAAAGTTATTTCTAGCTCAATGTGCCATGCAAACAACCACACAAAAATAGAATGCTTGAGATATGAGTTTTCCTCTCCTTCTGCTGTCTCCTGTTCAGGAGAGGATCCAGTTTCCTTAGAAGACACGCTTCCTATTACGTTAGTGCACTACCACTGAAAACTTACAGGTTACATCTACAAGTGAAAAAAATTACCAAAATCTCAACTCCTACCAAGTTGCAAGGATCTTATAATTGATGTTTTATACAGGGCATTTTATTTATTTCTTGGTTCTAGGGGAGTTTCCTGCTTCCCACTCAAAATGGTAATGCATGATACAATTCACTGCTCACAATCTCTTGATTATTCTACAAATACATATACTAATACATTTTGGACAGACATCCTCCATTAACATACACATGAGATAACACAGAGCTATACCATCACTCGTTCAGAGTATTTAATGGACTTACTACAATCATTTGTCCTTCTACCCAACAATCCAAATACAGGCAGCAACTGGTTAAGAATTAGCTGCACTTATGTTAGTACCTCAGAAAGCAATGAGGTCATTAGGATTTAGACATTTTTAAGACTCAGCTTGACAAATGCCTGAACAACCTACTCTGAATTCAGCACTGACCCAGTTACAGGCAAGCGGGGCTGGACTAGGTGACCTCCAGAAGTCCTTTCCATCCTGGATTTAGCTAGTCGGGAGAAACCTTGACACCAAACAACTGTACAGCTACCAAGTTATTTATCTGTGCTGTTGGAATTATATCAAGGCACAAGTTTAATACCAAATGTCTTAACTGGAAGAAATAGGTATTCCCTACAAGAAGGCGTTAGCTATAACAGGTAACCAGGTTTGATTTACAAGCTGCCACTTGGCCACAGTAAGTATTTGCACAGTTTTACTTCAGAAACTAAAAACAGATGAGGTAAACAGTAGTGGATAGGGATTTACCCGAAAGTTATGGTCACATAATACAGTAAGGCTTTGGTAGCAATATCAAGTAACTCCTACCTTTGCCCATCCTTGCTTCTCCCACTCTGTACTCCCATTCTGTGATTTGCATCAGTACTATGTTTAACAGGGAACAAGGAACCATGTTTAAGAATTCCCTTGGCAAGAGATGGGGAAGTTAACCTAATACAGTTTAATGCAGCAAATCCTACTTTGTAGCACCAAAATATTGCACAAGCAAAATGAAGGGTAAGATGTGCCAGGAATGGTGGGCACTGACATGGGGGCTGGAAAGAGGGCGTAAAAAAAAATTCTTCTCATGGGCAACATTAAAGTTCCGGTCTTGTCAGATCACAGCATGAGTCTGAAGTGTTGACGTGCTGCTTCATGCTTTTACCTTAAGCAGCCTTTTTCCAATATAGAAAATTTGGAAGGTATTCTACTGACTACTGTAATTTCAACATACAAGCACTTAAGGAGTGATAGCTTTAGCTAATGAAATTTGAGGAGTACAGGTTTTTACTTTCAACAGCAAATTACTTCTGCTTCTGAAAGTGTATCTGATTTTTTTTATGAAGAGCAGTTTAGTCCTATAACCAGCCATACTTACATTTATTTCTACTGATGGTGTCAAATCTATTCTGGATTAATAATCTAAAGGACAAACACATTTCCATATCTATATCCATCTCAGTTCTTCTAAGACCATAATAGCCTATATCCACTTCCTTTGCGGGACTCATCCCATAAAGGGATACAGATACAGATGTTATCACGCTTCACCACCTGTACACAGATTTTTTTTTTTTGGACTGTTTTATAATCTTGGATTGAGTGGGTTAAGAAAAAAGAACAGGTTTTACTGGGTACAGCTGGGTGTAAAGACCATCTCTGAATCTCTACAATACAATTACAGAATGTAGTTTCCAGTCATCAGATTTGAACAGCAGCCTACAGACTAGATGTGAGATTCCCTTCCGCCATTGGTATTAACCAGTCTGAGCTTAATTAGCAGCTCAAGCAATAGTCTCTCCTTCAATTATGTTCTCTTCTCTTTCTAAAACCTATAGAGCTGTACTAAAATTAGGTTGAACAAAATATGTCCTGAAATTAGGGCTCCTGAAATTACTCCCATTGGGATAGCATACAGTTGCTTATCATAAATGCTTTGTGCCCAAGCTCTGCATTTTCTCTTCACTTTTACATCTTTTGAGTAATTTTAGTATTTTTGTCGTAATTCCTCAAAGTTCTCTTATATAACCAAACTACAAATAATATTTACATGTTTTTTCCAATAGCATGACATCTTAAGCACATTCCTTATGAGATTTTACGATGATGGGGTGTAACCTGCCCCTCCCCTCATATTAGCAATTTGTGATTTAGATAGATACCAAAAACCAAAAATACAGCCATCCTAAAACTTCCGTCAGAAAGTACACTAAATATGATACCTTAAGAAACTGGTGAAGTATTCCAATGAAAAATTCTCTTACCAGAGCTTGACGACAGAACAGCTCCTTTGTAAGAAGGTGTTTTAATTGTGCAGATAGTTTTATTGTCACATCCTTTCTTCAGGGGCAACACAGATGGCACCATTTTAACCTTGGGAGTTGATACACTTCGTAGTGTGATTGGGCCTTTCTTCGGTGTGTTTTTCCCTTGTGTTGTCCCATCTTTCTCAGAAGGCATCTGTTTTTAAAAAACAAACAAATAAATGAAAAACCCCACCACACCACCACTGTGAGAAGCTGAAGATCTCCCTTTGCAGCACCTGTAAAGAAATATGCTTAGCTGCCTGCTGTCACATTGTCCACATCCTTGGTTCAGAACCTCAAGGATCATCCCCTGAATGGCCTTCAGCAACACACCACGTTGAAGCTTTCAAGTTTGAAGCAAACCACTGGTAATGATAAACACACAACAGACATTGCAGAGGTCATTTTACATCAGTTTCTTCCTCTCTCCTCAAACTCTAATTAAGCCATTCAAATACATGACTGCACCTTATCTCAAGATGAATTCCTTACCAGCCCTTCCAGAAGATTTCCTGGCATAGGTCTTAAGGTACACCACAGTAACAGGTTAAAATCAACATTCAGGTGCCACAGAGAGTAAATACAAATTCAGAAGTGGACCCAGGACAGGCTTAAAATAACTGGTTTATATGTAGCACTCATCTATCTTTCATACAGATTTCTTGCTCTAGTTTATACAGGCATTAATTCATGCTGTAAAGTTAAGGCTATAAAGGTAAACTCGTAAGAATGTACAGATCTTCATGTGCTTTTCTGTGACTCAAGCTGATATGCACCCATTTGGTCATATGAATGCTCTTGCTACTTTTGACTCCAATCCTCCTCTTCATTTTCAGAAGTTCATCTGTACTTCTCAGAAGTTCACTTACTAAGTTCAGCCCAGCCAATTAGTTTATTGCACATTTTACAGAAATTGCTCTATTGATTTTCCAGGTACCAGCTGAACAATAAATATCACCAAGCTTTCCATCTTGGTGACAGGATGTATTAAAAGCACTCTCTCCAACCCCTGGCACCAAAAGGAAGCAGTGAAGTAGAATGCAAGCTCTGAAAGACTTAAAAATTAAAATATTAAAATCCTTCAACATATTTTTTAACAAAGTCTTCAACACAAGCTGTTGAACTCAAATGACTCCACCTCTGCATCCCGACCATCCCTCCTGAGATCCTGGCTGACCCAACCCTGAAGCTCTTCCCTTCTTTCTCACCCTTCCTTTTCTTCTAACGACCTTTCAGAGTATTTGAAAGCAGCACGTTTCTCCTGACAGGCAGCTGACTTGTCCAAAAACATTTCCCAACCAACCAGCGCAAGCATATCTCCCGGCCAGGAAGTTTGCACTTTCCAGCTGGCTCACTGCCCAAAACCAGGTACATGCCCTCCGCATGAGAAATATTTCCTGGCTACTCTTAACTATTCTAATGAGTCCTGATTCTACTTCAAATAAATGAACTCCCAAATTATTCAAAGCAGACAGTTAAATTAAGATGGTAAAAATAAAATGCTTCACCAACATGGTGGTCTTGGGGTTTTGTATTACTTAGTATTATTGCTAATATATGCACACTAACATATGCAAGTAAATATTAATTTAGCTCTAAAACGTTTTGCAAGAAAAAATACTGAAAAGAGCAATTTATTTCTAATGTATATTTAAAGTTACAGCACCACTAGAATTATCTGGATACAAGCACGTATTAAAAGCTATATTTAGAAAGGCCTTATCAAGTTATGCTCTGCAATTTTACCAGTTTGATTAATTGAGGTGTTTGCTTTTATTAGAAATCTTAGCAACTGCATTGCCTTGAAAGGAATTTAAAAAAAAAATATACTATGGAATAAGATGAAGGCTGAAGACATTAAATAGCACTTGAAGCCAAGTGCAACCAGTCTGTGAAACTGTACTTCTTCATTCCTTTATTAGGGAGAGATTTCACCTCAGAAGTCAACACTACAGTCGTATTTGTAGACGCAAAACCTATTGCCAATTTCCATTCAGCACCATGCAATGCGGAATTCCCTTTTTCCAAATGTACACAACATATTACTAGATATGCAACGAAAAAAGCTTACCAAAGGAAGAGAGTGCAGGTCAAATGTTTTGTTTGCCACATCTTTTAACAAGGCTGCTTCCAGAAGAAGCCCCACGTTACTGCTTTGCTCTTTTTCACCTTCAGATGGACAGATGCCTTGAGCACAGGGCTGTGTTAAAGAGTCTGAACTTTCCATTTTATTCTTCAGCATCTCTTTTGAGTTCTCTACGCACGCTGAAAGCACAACAGAAACAGAGGAGCATGCCGAATGGATAGAGCTTTCCTTGCCGGTGTCTTCCGGATTCTGCTTTAACACAGGTGTCTTTGAAGCCTTATGGGAAGGGCTTTTGGGATGTGTTGCAGCATGCACGACTTGGCTCGTGAAGAGGTGTTTGTTAAGATGTAGCTTATGGGACTTATTCACAGGCAACACCGCTTTAGTATCTTTAGCTAAATCTATTTTCTTTTTCAGCACTTTTACAGAGGGGGACAATTGCCTCGGGGAAGCAGCCAGTGAAGGTGAGGAGGCTGCTGATAGCTGGGGGGAGCAGGGAGACTGTTTTAATGCCGCACTGTCTCTTGAGTGCGGCACAGGTCTAGACATAACCTTTGGCTTAACATTTTTGAAATTAGGTTTGGGAAAACTAACAATCTCCGATTTCTTTGCTTTGGTTATTGTTGACACAATAGAAGGCCTGCCCACTGGCTTTCCCGCAGTTTGACCTGAACTAGCTTTAAGCAAAGACCTTCTATTATGTCCTCCTACAAAAGTGTCGTTTAGTTTTACATTAGGAGTCTTGTTTTCAAGTTCTGGCAAAGCTGAAACAGAAAAAGTTGTATTTTTCGATTGTTCTTTAGGGGTTGAAGTACGTAGAGCAGAATCTCCTTCATCAGCCATAGGACTGAAGACCAGAAAAGTTGCTTCACAGTTCAGCTCAGGCATAACAGTCCTCTTTAATTTTGGTACACTGCAGGGTGTGAAAAAGGTGTTGTGCCTATCCTGAAGAGCAGCATTTCCAGAGGTACTTTGTTCTTTGGTTAGAGGTTCATTGGTTTTCTTTGATACTTGTTCTCTGTCTATTTTATCTACTGAAAGAAGGTGCATGTTATTTACAGGACTATCCACACAAGTTTCAGCATTGGAATTCCCAGTTTCATAATGGTCAGGGGTACCCTGCAAGGATTTCAGTTGGTCATCTTCATTAATATTAATACGTGGTGCTAATGCATCTCGCCTAGAAGGATCTATACTTTCAGCAGCTAGTTTTACAGACTGTGCTTCTGTTTCATGTGGTTCTTTATCAGTCTTGTCAGTGTTTTCTAGATCATTTCCAACATCTGCAGAGGCAGAACAATATACTTCAAGTTCTGAACAGGCATCTGGCCTTTCTGAAGCCACTACTGCAGGGGAGAAATCCAGTGCTCTTTCTGAGCCGGCTCTCTCAAATTTCTGTCTCGTACATACTTCAGAAGAGATTAGCATTTCCTTCGGATGCATGTCATCATTTTGATCAGTTCCCAGAGTTTCGCCTATAACATGAGTAACATCCAACGTGCTCTGGTGGGAGCATGCCCTGTCTTTTATCAGGGACTGCATGTTCTGCTCTGAAACAGGAAGAGGTAATATACACTTAGAGTCAGTCTGACTGTAAGGCACCGATTGTTTGATACTCTGATTTTGCATTTTTGCCATAGCAATGTTACCTTCCAGTAAGCTTGCTCTTTCTTTCAAGTCACAGTTCAAAGGATACACAAAAGTTTGTTCACTCACAGAAGACCTGCATGCAGCATTTGCATCTCCCAACAGAGCTCCTGTGCAGTTGTATTGACCAGGCGTCTTCTGCAGATGAAGTGCTCCAATACACTGCTGTTCTAAAAGAATACTTCTGACGTCACTCTTATTTTCAAGAACAGTATCATCTTCATGCTCAGTCACTATATTTTGGTCAGCTGAATTACCATCTTTCTTGGTGGCACAGCTCTTTGAGGAAGGTGTAGCTCTGTCACATGCATAGTTATTTCCATTTTCATCCCTTAGAAGTAAGGAAGACTTCAAGTCATTCTTTGCTTTGTCATCTGAGTTTTCAACATTCATTTTGAAGGCTAAGTTTTAAACTGTTTTCATTTTATACTTGTTTAAAATCCCAGAAAACACAGATTCTTCTGAACTTTGCAGACAAAAATCCCAGCTTTTCCCTGGAACTTGTCAGCTGTCCTGAAAGATATTTAAAAAGCGGTTCTTGGTTTTCATGTTTCCCAAGAGGATTCAAGAGTTCTGGAATGAAAAAGCAATTAAAAGCAATTAGCCAAACCAGACCTTTAAGACAGTAACCATTCTTAAGCTATTAGTCTTCGAATCAAGTGCAGCCATTTCAACAAACTTCCTGAAGTTAATCAGGCTTTTACAACAATGCTGTCCATGCATCCTTACCTTCACAAGACATTTCTACTTCCCTGACTGCCAAGAAACTTTTGAACTCTTTGGTCAGTTGCCATGAAGTATGACTTTAGGGTTGCATTTTCAGATACTTGGCTTGCTTGGCTTCCATGCAAGCAAAGGAACAATCCAAAAGATTTTGCTCCTCAACAGCAAAAAGGTATCTGAGGGACTATGCAATAGAATGAACCATCATTTTCCCCTCTTCCAACAGCAGGTCCCCATCAAAAGGGCATAGCTCCTCACAGAGTGTAGTCAAACTATGAAGCTTCTCACTGCACAGTGCTTAGAAGTCAGAACCTTACACAGGCTCAAACACAAGCAGTTAAGAGCCATGTAAGAAAAATCTGTCCAAAACAGAATACCAAAGTGACTCAAGAAGCACTCAGTCACAAGCTGCAAGCAGCTAGGAGAACTCTAGAGAAGAGTGCCCACACGCTTATCCTGTGCTTATACTCTTGAGTGGTTACTGCTGGAGACAGGACACACCATTAAGTGAACCTTCAATCTGACCAGGACCAGTCACATGCATGTTCTTACATACAAGTTTGCATGAAGACAGGAAATTAGGAGCTCTAAACTGTAATAATTATGAAATGTTGCTGTGTAAGCTCAGGTCTAGAACAGACACCAGAGCAGCAACATAAAAGCAACACTAAGAATCGCAGTGAAGCAAAACTTCAGTGCTCATGCCTTGATGCACATTGCAAAGAGCACTAACAGCCCCAGACAGCAGCTTTTCTCTGCACTGAAGGCCTTTTTTCTGCCTTTCAAGGAAGCAGTGCACAGCAGAGGCATCTCAATATCTTCAAAGAGGTGTCTTAAGACATCTGAGCTGAAATAGAGAAGATGGGGAAACTTATAATCAGCTCTGAAGTTACACCAATACACTACCCCCAGTGCTGCTGGAGTAGCCAGCAGGTAGATGCACACAGGACCCTTTCAGAATCAGAAGTCTCTTCATGTAGACTTTCAGGTAGGAAGAACCTCAGATTTAAAAATATATGGTTACAGTGGGGTGGGGGATCTGGCAGGAAGAAGGGTGACTCTCAGAGCAATAACATCTAAATGAGACAGAGTTCACTGGATCCAATAAGGGAATCAGGCTGAAGATGCACTCACTGGTAAAGGTCAATGAATGGTCAGCTTCCCAACTTAGCACAGGGAAACTGGACTGACTCCACTCTCCAAAGAAAGAACACAGAGGAGGAGGCCGCCACTGGAAAATAAAGACAGCACACTAAGGAGTAAAACGTAAGTTACTAAAAGCAAGAACGCATGATTCAAAAAAAATAGACCTTTTTCTCTTAAACCTTATTTTCTTCAGTTGGAAACAGTTATTATTATTAATAATAATCATCATCATCATCCAACAACAACGACTACATCCAAAACTTCTCGTAACAGTGAAAAGTATAAAGCTTTCAGACAGGCTGTAGGGCCCATAAGCAGCACTCTAAGACCATTCCAGTACTGCAGGAATTTGTGTGCTCACCATGGACCAAACACAGAGTAGCTTCTAGCCCACAACCTTGTCTTTACAAGAGACTTTAAACATCTGTCTCAGGATGAGGGTAAAAAGACCATGGAACAAGTAAACAACAAGCTAGCAAGATCAGACAGCACTCTCCTCTGCCCCCTCTTCCTCCCATGTGAAATGGCTTGACTAGCTTAAAATCACCTGGTTCCTTAAGGCTGGTCTAGATCCTTTGCCAACCCACTATCATCATTCAATCCCTATAGAAGCATGAACAATTTCAGTACCCTCATTTTCATCTGCTATTAGGAAACATAAGGCAGATTCAAGAACTCTTCCAAAAAAGTCTTCCCTGAAGGCAGGGCAAGAACCTGTCCTGAATAATTTTCCATTGATTTAAGTCAATCACAGAATCAACTTCTGAAAAGTATTTGCAAACTTTGCTTTCACCACAGTTTTGACACATTTCAACCAGTTTCTACTTGTCTGGAGACTAGCCCATAGCACAGCTTGCTCACCTAGTCACACAACAAAAAGTTAAAACTCCATTTTGATTCAGCATTAGCTGAGATTCAACCATCAGTCTTGCCTCTTTTTTTTAAGAGTCTTCGCACTACAGAAAACAGGGAACTCCAATATGCCAAGACTTAACAAGACAGATTTGAAGAATGACATGTTAGCTTGCAGTATGCATAGCTAATAATGCCAAAATTTGAAATGCAGGCAGCTGAGTAAACCTTGAACCAATCAATGATGAAGAAGCTCCAAGAAAAATAAAAGTAGTTTTGAGACCGGGTAGACAATTGAGGAAGTGCATTAAAGCTGCACATACGAACGCATACACTTACACATAGGAGTGTGATCACTCACTGCTCTTTCACATAACCAGAGAAAGTACAGACATAAACCACTGATTCAGCTTTTTTTAAAGCAAATTTTCACTTCAGGAATCAATACTTTCATGAGAAACTAAATCAGCTTCAAATACAGCTTCATATACACATTTTTCAGTCCTTAAAGTGTCCTGCATAAAAAGTGAGGTATTTCTAAGGATTAATTATAGTGTATACAAATCTGTTAATATAGTAGTCCTCAAAAAAATTGACATTCTGTAGTTTGGCAGGTACTAACATGTTTCAGCAGCTTGTGAGAACTCTTCCTGATGATAAGAAACTCTTCAGAGTTAAGACCTGCCATAGGAGACCACTGAAAAATTAACCTCAGCCAGCACCTCCTCCATAGGAGCAGTCAGTCGCAGATGCACAGCCAGAACAGTTGCCCTTCCCCAGAACATTCCTTCCCAGGAATACACTGTTCCTGGCAACTAGCCACTTTGGGAATTCTCTAAACTAAATACTACTAATAAACTCGCTTTGAGTTTGTTTCACATCAACAAGCACTACACATGCCTGGCCTCCACAACACTCCACAGCGCAGTGCAAAGGAGTTCAGCTGTTTTGTGCCTTCAGTAAAGCCCAACTTGCCAAATTTCAGTTGCGTATTTCAAATGCTGCCAAAAAAAAAAGTCTTAGTTATCAGAGCTCTAAGCTTTCTCCTTCCTCAACAGATATGGAGTAACAGAGGCATCACTTTCAAAAAAAATAAGGGAAGTGAGCTCAGCAAGCAGCTTCTCCTAAAAGGAAAAGGGATCAGCTGCCAGCAGACCCAGGTCCAGGAGAAATACCCACAAGAGATACACTACAACACACAGAGCCGGGCTCACAGCAAGACCTTGCCACTGCTACTGACCTACAAGGGGTATCTGGAGATGTGCTGTAAAGGGGCAGAGACAGTGACTCATCCGGTGCTGGGTAAACAGGAATCAAACCCACAGTGATTCCAATAGATAATTCAAACTACAATTTACAAAATACTACAGGAATGCAAGTCAGTTACTGTTGCATCACAACACAGACAGTAATAATTTACACTTTTCCCGCTACTCCATCTGGAACTCGGTTCTGTCACCCACACCATCACACAGCATTTACTCAAACCTATCAGCTGTGTTTGTGAAGCCTGGATGAAGGGGAAAGTGGGGCAGGGAATAAACCTGAAAGGAGAGAGCGTGCCCAGACATGCAGGAAGGCAGTCCAGAAGTGCTCTAATCAACAGAGTGTGCTTTGATACCAGACAAAATGCACCATCAGCATCTGTATTTCAGCAGAAAATGGTATTACACTGTCACAATTACCACTGCCACTGAAGTCAGAAGCTATTTAAGGTATTTCATGTATCAACGCATTCCCCTACAATCACTTTACCTGACCATGTTCTGGAACACAACACAATCACACAAGTCAGATTTTTCAGCATGTACACCAAAGGCAGAGATGGCAGCATCCAGGAGGGAGTCTGCAACGACCAGGCAACCCTTCCAACATGTCCAGCATTGCTCGCATGCGTTCTATCAAAAAGCACTGGGAAAAGATGCACATCCTGGTGTAACCTAGCCTGGTGCCAAGGTAAACCAAACTACTGGAAGAGAGGAGTTAAGCTCCTAAAGCAACTTCACCAAAACATTTATAATGTTACAAGTATAACATACTCCCAGAAGCGAATTACATGAAGTGCTCATATGCTAATTGTGTTGCTTGCTTAAGAACACACACACAGCATCATCAGTGCTGGCACTGTGAGGGTGCTGTGTTTATAAGAAAACAAAACAAAACACAGGGTACCTAAGTGACATACATATGGTTTACTCAAAGCCATTTTAAAAAAATCAAAATCGATATGATACACTTGCTATGGTAAGCAGAAATAATGTGCAAGTTATGTTTGTAAGCATCATGCAGGAACCTTTGACTGAAGGAGTAGTATCACTTTCACAGGCATGAACCATCAGGTTTTGGCTCCTACTTGGCTATTTGCCAGCCTGCTCCAAAACTGGACCACCAGCATAACATACAAGTGATAGCAACCCACAAGCATGGATTTTAAGGAGTTAAATCTTGGCACTAAATGTGTGGAAGAAGTGGAAAGGCAACTGAGCCTACAGCTGCAGAAATCAGACGTCCTAAAGTTGAGAGAAGTGCTGAGTTCCCATAAAATGTTCAAACCATGACACAGTATCATCAGACCACCCCAAAACAGCTGCTCATGCTAACAGGTACATCTACCCTAGTACCTTGCTCCTACTAGTGACCAAATGGTTGTCTGAGATCGACAGCAGTGCTAG